CAGACAACCTCTCGTCAATATGCGTTTTTCGCATTGCATTGCTGCAAAAAACGCATAAAAACAAAATTGCAAGGCGATTTTTGAGTTCTGAATATCACTGAAATACCATTAAATCTAAAAATTTCGGAACTTTTTGGTTTTTTTTAAGAGTAAAACCAAAAATTCCAAAATCAATCATTCTTAACAACAGCGAGACGGATGACAGTACCATTGGAAATAGCAGTGAGTCTGGTAGCTTCGTGAATTGAAATTAAAGTTTGATGCCGTATCAGGAAATGACGAAATTTGGTAATATCAATAGCTTTTTGCCCAAACTGGTAGTACAACTTCCTTTCGTCCACAATATCATCGAATCGGCCACGTTCCTAAAAACGTGATAACGTGCCTCTCACAAGATGATTTTTAATTCTTACGATATCGAACAGAACAAAGCAGGGCTTACGCATTGATACGCATAGTATGCACCAAAAATTTGAATAAAAAACGAAATTGGAATAGACCTAAAAACACTGATCTCATATTTTTTTGAGCTATATTTTGAAAAAAAAAAAAAAAAACACAAACTCTTAATGTTCAAGAATCCTGAATTTAAGCTATGTTTTATGTAAATAAAAATAACGCATGCTGCTCAGCCCCACAATTAAACAAGCTAAGAAGCTTAAACTCTGGGAAACCATGCATAATCCCATAATGGTCCAAAGGCTTCAAATGTTTTAGGACCCCAATTTCACTGGATATCGCGCCATGATCTGATATATACAATTCATTTTAAATTCCCAAATCCAAAAAATCCAGGCAGCAAAATCCTGAGAGATTATTCTTCGATCTATTATGGATGGCAAATCGAAATCAACCAACTTCAAAATACATCCTATACTTAATATTTTCAAATTCAGACTATTGTCCCTACTTACGGGGTGAAAAACCTATCAAACGAAGCAGTGCAAAACTCTGCGCTCTTGCTGATTTGCACCTCCCAAGCTTTAGAAAATTTGTGGAACTTCAAGACGACAAAATTTTTGAACTTACCAAAGCGGAAAAAAGCGTATATAGTAAATTTTCAGCAGCATCATCGACACGTTTACTCGCCGCTTTTCGCTCAGAAGGTGGCTGAAAATACAAAAATTTCTTAAAAAAAAACAGATTCTCTTCCTATTGCGTATCCGAATAACAATCGACATGAACAGAGCAAAATTTGCAAATTCGAAATATAGACAAAACGAAATGATTGGAAAAATCTTGAAATTATGATGCGTGCTTGACAAATAACTAAACTCTGACACTAAATTAACAGAGTACCCGTTTTTCTTACACTATTAGTTTAAAATTTTTCTCCAAATGTTAATGCTGGACTGCTAATCGGTAAGCTAAGAAACTGCACGTGAAACGCACAGAAAACATCCGTCATAAAAGTTTAAAAATAGCAAAAATTCACTAGATTTTT